AATTTCTTCAGTTCCCGGCGGGTTTTAGCCGCGCGTCACTAAGCATGATAGGTCACTAGAATGGTAACGAACTGTTTCCCAAGGTTTCTAAAATGGTAAAATATCCTAAAGGTTTGCCTATTCGAGAAGGTAAGCGGTTATTGGTTGCCTGTTTGTGACGTAATTCATAGAACCGACAAGTTCTGATTACGGTTTGTTTACGATAAATATGAGTGACCAGGAGATCAGTAATATACTGCTTAGGATATTTTAGAAACCTTGGAACGACGGTATTGATATTTTACAACGTAAAATTTTTTGCGACTTTATTTTTTAGCTATATTATGTGCTATTAATGTACAATTCTGTTATGCTTAATACGTGCACGGAATATCAAGCGCAGTTGCTGCAGAATTGTTTTCATACCTTCAAGTTACATTAAACATTTGAAATATACATTTTTCCTGAATAAAGTTGAATTAAGAGCTAAACTGAGTAACAAAGACATTAACTGTTCTATTTTTTAATATATTTCAACTGTTATGTAAAATATTGTGTTTAAGTATGTATGTTTATAACTTATTGAACTATATTTCTGTTTTTGCAGCATCGCATAAAGTAAGATTTATTGTAATAAATAAGTAATGAAATTTATAATGTTGCATATTTTAGTTTTGTTAGTATGATTCTTATTTTCTTGTGCCAGTTCACAGTCTGAAGTGAAATCTTGTGTTTTGTTTGTGTGGAGCAAAACTGCTTAACTAAGCTTTCATATATGCTTTGCAGTTTGAATTTATGAACATAAGAAGTATTTTACTGATCTTGCTGTTTCCCCAACTTGCGTGACGTCACAGTTTGGTTGGGACGGCTAAGGCTCCTCTAATAATACAGGAGCCTAAGGGACGGCTGGTTTGGCTAGTCTCTTGTGAAAAGTATCACGCTGTCCTCCTAGAGGAAGTACGTCATCGGATGACAAACATAACGTGGTCTACCATAATAAGCTTTTTCTCCCCTTTTTGGCATTGTTCTCCGAAGAAACAAATAAGTTTAATAAAAAAAGAGAGAGATTAATTAATATATACTAAAGTCAATTAACATTGAGGAGCTAAAATTTTGAGAGCTAATTTTTTAAAACTATTCGTGCGATTTTTACAAAACTTAATAGTTTGGCTGTTCCATTCCCCCCCCCGCAGTGTACTACATGAGTTTATGAGTACATGCTAATTCATGAAAAAATTACATATAGCCTGGATATTGACTTAATGTTCCTTTTGGAGTAAAAATTAAGATAGGCGATGAAAATAATATAATACTTTGAGGTTACTGTAATTTTTGCATAAGTTCTTCATAACCAATACTCTCCTTTTTGGTTATTGGTCTTTAAGGTAGAAAGCGGAGGAAAGGGCGCTGCGATCACGAAAGCTGGAGGCAGTATCTGAACATAGCTCCGAAATTTTTTAAATAAGTGTTTCAAAAATGTTTTCAACTCTCTAAAATAGTTAATGCACCTTTTCCTATGCAATTCTCATTCATCATTGAAAAGGACTTCGCTTCTTCGAAACTTCAGGTTTTCACTATCAACACGAGAATCCAAAAGAGCTCTGACCGAATTCAGATAATACATTCTGTTCTCTTAAATATCTGTCTCTCTATCCAGAGTGCCATATTTCTTTTTTATTATTATCATAGATTTTACATTATACAATAGCTGGTACTATAGCATTCCTGTGTTCTTTTCTCGAACTATTCCGTAGAGACGCCACATTCCTTATGAGTAGGTCCGTTCTTATCACACTCACACCTCGGGGCCCCCCTTTTCGGCTTAGATATTTCTTGTGCGGGAAAAATGGATCTTGACCATCGATGATATAGATTGTGATTTTTGTAACAAATCCCGACTTTTTTTTTTTTTTTTTCAGGTCTCAACTTAGAATCATAAGCAAATAAAATACAGAGGACGGAATTTGTTAACTGTACTATATACTTTACGTTAATTATAAATTGATTTTATTTTAACTAATATTTAGAAAATAACGATAATTTATTTTGCGAAATGCTCTCACCGTGTATATGGATTATAACTTGTCAATTACTGTTTTCTGAAATATAATGAAATTTTTGGGACGGAATATTAATGTTACTTAGTTAAAATATTATGACATCTCTTGATGATATATGTCTTTTCTAGTTAGGTCTCAAATAGGCATACTATTACTATTAGAATTCCTTCCTTTTTTTTTTTTTTTTTTTACTTGTTTGTTATTAAAGACCTAATTTTTGCAGATGAACTCCTTACTACAACTCATGGACACAATCGTATTTTAGGTTTTCTACTCTTTTTCCTTTCTTTCTATAGGCCTCCCCTTTTTTTTCTCCTCTATTATTTTGGGCCCTTTATTTTAAATTTATTTTGTCCCTCTTTTCTTTCTGGCCTTTCGAACTCGTAAAAATATACGAATTCATTTTCTCTCCTCAATACGAATGCCCCTCCTTTCTATATCCTTCCTTCGCACCTATGCTTGATTTTTCGCCCATCGGTGCAGAAAGACTTAGCGGGTGCAAAACAAGACATCTGTCTACTTTGTCTGTCTGTCAGGGTAGAAAGCGTCGTGCTGGTGCACCAAAAAGCGTTGTTTATTTTTATACATGTGGAAATGTCGCTAACGATGTTAAAGTATGCTTTATCTGGCCGCTACATTTCTGAGCATGCATTAGCTCTCTTCAAAGCGAATGTAAACCTTAATTTTAATAGAACTATCGCCATAAGTTGTACTCTGTATGGCAAAAGGAATTTTAGAAAATTTTTATATCACAAGAGGGGCACTCCTTTGGATCTTAACTATTTTAAAAATAATCCAGAATTAGTCGATCGTAAGAATTATTTTATTTTTATTATATATGTTTTCAAAAATTCATTAATAATTTTGGAAAGGATTCAGATAAACATTTTATTACTTTTTGCTCCATGATGATCTTATATTGCTAATTTTAATTGCTGTGTGAAAGTAATATTTAAATTTCTAATTTTGTGTTCAATTTTTGAGGAAAGTGCAGAATCACCCACTGCTTCGCGCGTTTCTCAAAAAATCGCCTGCCACCGAAGTGGACGATTCTGCATCAACTTGAAAATAACAAGTGAAAGAATTACACAAACTCGGTATCCATCTACAAGTTGACTTTGTTTCACTTAAAAAAACATCAGAAAATTGCACTTCCTTGACTTTGTCCATATACACATCGACGCACCATATAAGTGGGCGATTCTATACTTTACCCCAATTTTTTACAGAGTATAATTGATAAGGTTTAAATCTGGGTATGGAGAAGGTGTTTTGATTATTTCATGATAGCCAAACAAAGGGCCATTTCTTGACTTTTTGGGAATTATAAATATTTATCTTATGTTCCTTATTACTTATTTTGGTGCTTTCTTATTATAACAGCCTCTGACCTTACACGGGTATGATTTCTCTAAACTCGTGAAACAGGAATGTAAAAATAAAACAATACAATATATAATAATAACAAAATATTTAGTTGTTTCTTTCTAAGAATATATTTGATAATCATTAAAGTGACTGTTACCAGCTTCTTCAAGTTGCTCCATTTTCTATCACTTCCATCAATCTGAATAAATCATTGATCCATCTTATACATGTTAAATTATAGTCGAAATTCAAACAACAAAGCACTCCCACCTTCTTGCCATATACATCCAAAATTCCACTATTGTGGGAGTAATCTACCATGAGTGTGATATGTCAGATGAATAAACTGTCATCGATTTCAGCTATTTATTGGGACTGCCCATTCATCCACTGAATCTTTGTATCATGTAGGGAACATTTCCTATATGTACTTGTTCCAATCAGTTGCAGAATTTTCACACATATTAAGCTCTTTGTTGTGTAGCATTTGACGCACATCAGCTCTTTTGCTCAAGAATAGATAAATCTAATAGCAATGACCGACCATATTCTGAAACAATTAAATTAATTTCCAACATGGGGGTGTTCTTCTTTTCAGGATTTTTAACATAGCATCTCCAAATAGTTTTGTGATTGATATATAGTTTCTGTTGTGGCTATTTTGGCATACTTGTTTCTCAGGTAAAAGATTCTCTTGAAAAAATGGTATAGTATACACCTCTTTATTTGGTAAATTAAAAGACTGTTAAACATATATTCACAAATATAGCAAGGAATATTAAAAAAAAAAAAAAAATGTGAATACAAAAATCTTAGCAAAAATGAAACAGAATGCTAATACAGTCAAAAGTGTTTAATCTGGACTCGTTGGGACTTTGGCGATTCCGGATTATAGATCATCAGTTTAAATCTGGTAAGATGGCATGCAGAAATTATAAAATTAAAAATATGAAACCGTAATTTATGAAATAAGAGCATTATGATCTAAAGGGTATCAAATTTACAAAAAAAAAAAGCTTATATTTATTTGTTTACTTTATTAAACATTTCTTTCAACGCACGCATGCGTAAGCATACATTACGCATAGTCGAATTAGAAAATTGCAACCAAAACTATTTGATGTGTACTCGTGATATTTATAAGACGAGGAATTTGATTTAAATCATATCAAAGACGAATACATCGAGATGAAATACTACAATTAGTAAGGAATTATAAGCTGAATAAAATAAAAATATCTGCCCTGAAGATAAGGATAGTGCTGACAGATCAACTTCCATTTCATTGCGCGCCGCGACATCCTCCCCCTGCAGAGCAGCATGAAATTCATAAACAGATTTCGAAATGGTTAGAGAAACAAAGGATATGCCTTTATCCATTTTTTCAGCAATTCCACTTTTTGTTTGATGGACATCGAAACATACTTTTGCTTAGTAAATCCTTTACATATTAGTAAATATATATCGGAAATTCCATTTGACATAATTGAAAGTTTAATGTTACTTTTATAAAATTGCTCTAACACTCTGCAAAAAATAATAAGCTGGATCCAATTCGAAGATTAAGGAACAATGCAAAGTGCAACATTAACTGAATATATAATTAGATAATTTTAGCTTAGCTTATACCGTCCGTACATTAAATGCACATGCGTAAACATATTATGCGCATGCGTGAAAGGCGTTATGCGTTAACACACGCGCAGAATGTTTGTAGCTTTGAGGTCCGGATTAACGACTTTTGACTGCATAAGAACACATGTCGAGATATCTCGGTTTATTAGCGATTCAGTTTCGGGGGCCGCTATACTACGAAAGTACTATTATTTGTCTATTTAAACCAAGATTTAATGTTAATTTTGTTAAATGTTGTGGAAAATATTGTTCAACCATTTTATTACTTTTGATATCATTTTGCTCATCTGTGTCTTATATTGCTGATTTCAATTGCTCTTTGAAAGAAATGTTTAAATTTCTAACATTAATTAAATGACTTCGAAATCATGCTAAAAGTATGTAAAACCCCTCTGTATATGATTAAGAATGTCTTATTGTAAGTTTGAAACACTTCACATTTCATTATTTTAATACTCATGATGATATCTTATTATATTTCACTGTGAAGTTTGAATGATCTTCTAAGTTTACTTCCATTTTTATTTCTGCAGTTTTCTGAATGATATATTTTTATATATTAAAAAAAATGGGATTCTTGTCAGTTTTGTCACTGACCAGCAATTACTTGTTAAGTTTTGTAGAACTATCACCAAACAGTGTAGCAAAAGGTACTCTTCTGTTATCATGACCAGATTCAGAAATGTATGCATATATGGATGGATGTGTTCAATGTATGCATGTACATGTATATGTATGTGTGTGTATACACACATATAGTATATTCACATACATGCACGCATACATTTCTGAATCTGGTACTGATAACAGAAGAGTATATAATTATGGCCAAAAAATAAGAATTCTGAAATAATTTTTTTAAATAAAAAATCATATATCTGGATTCAAAATGATGGCAATTTTTTGATAATTTTGAATTTACCATCAAGTGAAAATGAAGCTACTGCATTCTTCAAAGAAAATGGTATATTTTAGCCTCTATCCAGATTTGCAAACACAGCCTTGAAATGAATTTATATATCACTGTCAAAGTATTTTTTGAATGCTGTGAAAATAAATAAAGAAAAAAGTAAGAATGAAAAAAAAAAAACCCTACTGCATGATTTATATCTGCCCTGTTTCATGAATAAATTAGGTCAAATGGCACATGCATGTTTCTGCTTATATCCTGTGGGGAAACTATAGTATGTAAAGCAATAATTTAGTGAAAATTTTTCGAATATGTGTGGCATTGTATTGTAAAATTAGTCCTGAATGCTAGTTGTTGAGCAAATTATATACCATTCTTAAAATTACATTCAATTGTTCTTTATGACTTAAACTTGGCATGGAATTTAAAATTATTTTCATAACAGCAACAGTTTATTTCATTAGAAATTGCTAGAGTTATTTCAGCTACCCTGACCAGTATAGTGGTTAGCAAATGCTGACTGCCATACCAATGGGCCCTAGTTCAAATCTAAAAGAAAACAGGTATGTTTTTAAGTGGACAGTGTGTGTACAGCAGAGGCACTTGAAATACAGTCAAAATACCGAAAATCCGCCGACCTGAAATTCGCGTTGCCTCTCAAAATATAAACATTCAGTTTATAGGTTCTGGAAACCGCAACATTGAGTATGAAACATCGAAGAAAAAATACTTAACGAATAATGACGTCATATTTACCAAATAATAATGAGTCATAATGGAAATACCAAATTATTGACATAAAAAAAGTTTTAAAAATAAGAAAAGTTTTTGCCCTCTAATCTCTGCATCGAGGTAAAAAAGCAGATGATTCACTCAACTCTTTGTTCAAGTTCACGATTCACGTTGTTGTATTTTCTGAGCTTTGTTATTTTACAAGATTGTTTAGTGCTGCCTCTTTTTTTATCCTGATATTTTGTAGATAAATTAAGAATATTTTAAATTTCAGCTCTTTTTAATACAATGACAGATAAGAAACGCACTCATGATTTTACTGCTTGCAACGTTGAAAAACATAAACATGTTGCATTAACGGTAACGCAAAATGTGCAAATTCTGCAAAAGATGGAGGCAGGTGCTACTCCTCGATTTATAGCAGAATGGTATGGAATTGCGACGCGATTGTGTATAATATACGGAAAAATAAAGAAAAGCTGTTGAAATTTTACAGCAACAGTGATTCTAACACAGGAATCTGAAATCTTTACATGAGGCGAAATCGGCAAACCTCGATGCTGTGTACATATAATACAATGAATAATATAATTAATTTATATATGTAATAATAATTTAATAAATTATTGCAATAATGTATATAATAATTTAATTATCAAGCAAAGCAGTAATAACAAATGTATCTAATACGCGTTATTTATTTTGCACTTTTAGTCCGAATATTATGCTTTATCTTTTCTGTCCTGAAATCCACACAACCTCTGGTCCCAAGCTTTGCGGATTTCTGGACTTCTACTGTACTGGCAAACTGAAAATCCTTTTCAATGGTTTAGTGTTAGGAGAAGAGGACTATTCCCCAGACTATTATCCATCAATATTGGGGCAGAGCTATACAGTTAATATGGTGGAACTATAGCTGTACAACCAGTGGTAAAATTCAGGTACAGATAGTACCTATACCTGTAGTTATTTTATCCTGGATGTCCTGATTTAAGTTTATAACCACCTCTCCTGGTTTTACTACATGTTGAGTATTTTATTTTAACAAATATGGTTTCGGCTTCATTCAGCTTGTCGTAGAAAGATCCCATTGATTAGTTTGTGTGCTTCTCAATAGAAAATTCCTTTATGTTGACTATAATAATACCAGAGTTGCCAAATCTCCCAATTTAGGTGGGAAACTCCCAATTTCTGACTATTCTCCCGCTAACCCAATTTGTGCCATATTTCTCCCGATTTTCCCTTATTCTTAAAATTTCTCACAATACTTCAGTATTTGTACCAAGAAAATCATTTGGGGCATCAGTTGGTTTTTCTCTAGATTAAATCTAAAAGAAAATCAATGCTGTTTCATCAGTGAGAAAATGTGGTGCGCTTTGTGAGTGAGACCATACGTGTTCGAAAACGTTGTGTACCAATTCTTCAATCAGCATCAAGCGCTGCTGCGTGTCTTCTTGCATACATTAGCTAATGAACACAAAGCAAGAACAAGGCTGTTAATTCGTTCATCTTGTCGCTGAGCAGTGTTAGTGCACGTGCTTTTGAGAAATAGTTTAAGAAATTACGATCTTTTGTTTTAGTTATGTTTACGCAAAGGTAAAATACTCATGTTCTTCTCAAAAATCATACACAGATGACTTTCCTTCTATTATTTCTTCAAGGAAATGTAATACATTTGCGATGTGTATCATTTGTCATTATGATTTTTCGATTTCGCACGGTAAAGGCCCGATGTTCTCAAACATGTACTTACACAAAAACACAAGAACAACTCGAGTTCTATTGGGAAAAAAAGAAAAAAAAATTGTTTTGTTGAAACGAAGGACCAAAATGTTTTTAATACTGGAACACAAACTGCCACTGCATCGTATAATGCTGCAGTTTTATTTAGAAAAAAATGTCTCTCGATAGATATACGATACTTTTTGAATAGATTTTCAGTTTTACTTCATTTAGTCATGAAATATGATTTTGATGTTGCAATTGATAAACTGCAGTTGCAATTTCACAATTTACAATTAGAAAATTTGGATGTTATGAAACTATCTAGGATTGGCACCCACTGGAGTTTAATTGGAAAACTGAAAGGTGCTAATGGAATTTTAAAGTAAAGTGAACTATCTAGAATAATGTTGGCCTTTCTGACAATTTATCATAGTAATGCAGAGTGTGAGAGGATTTTCAGTATTTTTGCAAAAACAAGGACTAAATTTAGATCTAACATTAGTAATGATACATTAGAAAAACTTTAATTAGCAAAAGCAGGCCTATGTGGCTATTGCTATGAATAAAATTATGAAGTTTCTTTTTTAATGAAAGCAAAATCTGCCACTGCTCTTAGCATTTGTACGAAAACTGATTTAAGTATTATTTTTTGGTTAAGAGATGCAAATCATAAAAATGTTTTTTACAGGTATTTTTTGTACTATTTCCATTTAGAATTAGTAACTTAACTTTCAGATATTAATTAGAAACTATTTAAAGTTAATTCATTAGTTAAAAATATATATTTTTATCATTTAAAAGAATCTTTTCGTCTTTGAGAAAAATCTCTTAATTTCTGAGTGCCCTAGGTTGGCAAGTATGGAATAGAAACAATCTGTCTAAAACTAATTACCTTCTTTTTCTGCTTTTATAATTTTACCTTGTATTACTTGATCCATTAATTTTGAGTTTTAAACTTTAAGATACAATTCTTTTTGTATTCAGATATAATATTTAGGGTTGTTTAGAACGTAATTTCATCTTTTTACTGCCAGAAGGACTAGTTGTAATTTTGACCAGCTGATTTCATTCTAAACTGTATTTTCATTATGCATTTTAACAGTTGACATTTCAAGGCTTATTATAAGAAACATTTTTTTGATTCTGTAGAAAAAATATATATATTTTTAGTGTCTTCTCAAATATAGAAAATCAAAAGCAGCACTTTTGGCATATTTTGCTTTTTTATGATCAAAAAGGTAAAAATGCAGTTCAAGCATGAAAATAATTTTGTGATGCATATGGAGAAGGTCGTATAACAACATGAGAAACTGCTAAGAAATTAATTTTGTTTAATTCACCAGTTATGGTGGCATGAAATGATGTTATTTCATTTTTATGTTCAATGTATGCTTCCACATGTTCTTAAAGAAAGATATTTGGTTTGATCTGTGATCATACACATCTGTGATATGGTTCTGAACTATGAAGAAAATGGTTTATTTTTAAAGTTAATAAGAATTGGCAACTAGAAGTGAATTTAAATGTAGCAAAATGGCAACTTTATTGTGGAATAGCTGTTAAATAAAACTTTATCAATAATCAGGGCAATTAGACATAGATCCTTCTTCAGGAGCAAAAAATATTCTACTAGATTTTCTGTGAATGTAACCCTTTATGTAATGTATGAATGTGAACCGTATATGTAATATATCAAGTTAGTTTCCATGGATAGTCCTCCATACAGTCATCCTTTCTTTGCTTTGGCAAACAACTATTGCATGCTTTGCTTAGTTAATTAACTAACAATTATCCTGTACTCTTCAGATATTATTAACTAATACAGTACAAAGTCCATAATCCAGACTCATCGGGACTTCTGCGATTCCGGATTATAGATCATCAATTTAAATCTGGTAAGATAGCATGCAAAAATTACACAATTAAAAATATGAAACCATAATTTATGAAATAAAGAGCAATTATGATCTAAAGGGTATCAAAATTTACATAAAAAAGCTTAATATTTATTTGTTACTTTATTAAACATTTCTTTCAATGTAAGTTGTTTAAGTTGCTTCATTTTTTGTGCTAATACTTTCTCTTTAATTCTTTAACCAGACATAATTTCTTGTTCAGTTACAAAGTTCCACTGTTCAAGTCCTGTAATTGCTGTGTGGAGAATACCGACTAACTTGTCAATCAAAATTTTTTGGTTTTCAATAACTTCTCTGTCACTTTCTTCACTATCGGAAGTGGTATGGCAGCTCCAGAATTGGAAACTCTTTTTAACATAATCGACAGTTCAAGCTTCATTTTCATAAAATTGCTCAAACAGTCTGCAAAAAAAATAATAAGCCGGATCCAATTAGAAGATTAAGGAACAGCGCAATCTGCAACATTAACCGAAATGCCTTCGAATCAGAAAGATAATTACTATCTAGCTTATACCGTCTGTTATACATTAAACGTGCATGCGTAAGGCATACAAAAAAGAAGTTTGTAGCTTTGAGGTCCAGATTATGAACTTTGTACTGTACTTAGTGATATGTGGTTTAATTCTTTTATCAGTTTTAGCTGCTTCAATGTAAACTTTTTTCAATTGTAACAGTCATAAGCAGTATGGATGTAAATCAGCTGCACCTATGGCTTCTCTGTTGTATATATGTGCGTTCCACATGTTGATGAATTCCTCAACTGTAACTATACGCATCATATTCTGATTAATGAATTCCCTTGATAAACTTTTTCAGAGTAGGTATCAGGTGGTAGCATGTTTTTTATCATATTATTTAAGGTTGTCATCATTATGTTCCTTCATTTTGCTTCTGTCTGATTTTGAAAACACAAGTGAGTATTGAGGTGAATAATCTTATGTGAAATACAATGCAAGCTATAATCAAGTTACTTCTTCATATCTATGCTATTATATTTTCAGCTAGTTCTCATATTTATAAAATGAAATAAAAAATTCATTAATTTTTAGTGACTGACTCAATACAAATTTGAGCTGAAGGAAAACAACTAAAGACTTTTGGAAGAAATGTTAGATTGCTAAAAACCAGATTTTTGTGAATATTGTAATATTTTAACAAGACATAGCTAATTAAGCTATTAAATTATTCTATATTCTAGTTTATTCTGTTTCATAAATATTTTTAATGTGATTTGTTTTTAAGCCTGTTATTTAAAACTCCTTTTGTTTGTTTTATAGTAAGGGGAATGAGACTTCCTGGCTATTATGATGAAAATAAAAAACTTGTAAAAGTACCAGAAATGGTTCCTGAGCTAGTAGTTCCAGATCTAACAGGTTTTCATGTAAGATAAATTCATATAAATTTTTCTTATGTATTTTTGTATGAGAAAGATGTTATTACTTAAAATATAAAAATGGGCAATTCAGTTTGCTCTATGAAATTACAGTTTTAGTGACACTTTTGTAGTTAAGTCTTTGTAATGTCTAATGTTCAAACTGTATACTTTGCTAGTAGTTTTGCAAGTCAGAATCAAAATTCAAATACATATTTGTGGTACCTATGTACTATTTTGTCAACCATGAAAATTAGTGGAGAATACGCCAAAGTTGCAATAATCATTTCTACAGAATGCTGAAGAAATTGATGCCTCTTTTTTTTTTTTTTTTTAATAAACAACCAGTATTCAACCTTTGTTTTTGCACTTTAGAAAAGGGCTTTTTTTTATTTCTATTATTTTGTATGGCCCTCTAATTAAACTGAAAGCTACGAGTACAAATTTTCCTTAGTGATGTTTTAATCTATTACTGATTTGTTGGAAATATTCAGCTGATCACATCTTGCTCATTAATACAAACTCTTTTTTTTTTTTTTTTTTTTTTTTTTTTTTTTTATGGTAGGTCCATAGCTTTGAAAATAATCCACTGATTGTTGTTCTGTAAAAAAACAGGTCTCAAATTTTAAACTTCCCCCCTCCCCAAAATGCAAGAAAAAATTTAGCAGCAACAATTAATTTATATCGTTCTTTATAAAAATGAAATTTAGTTTATTATGAATAGATTGAAGGTACATCAATCCCAAACACAGATGTTAATCAAATGTTGTTACATCACTCGTATCCATAATTAGTAATAAATCACTCTGCTTGGTGACTGTTTCAGGGTCAGTGGGATAATATGTAAATACCATATTTTTAATACCATGTAACCTGTAGATATAAATAAAGTAACCTTAGTGAAGACAAACAATCATTTGTGCATGTAAGAATCTACCAGTTATTGCTCATGCATATAGACACAATTTAATTTTTTTTCTAAATTCACATAGATAGATTTAAGTAATTTAAAATGTCTAAAATTTTGATACACTAACCAATTTACAATATATTGTCATCTTATGCATTTGATAGGATTAAAAATAAGTAAAATTTCTGTACAGCAAAAATCACATTTATAGATTTGCATATTATTTCTGCAAAGGTCCATTCCTAGATATGATGACCATATTTAGCACAAAGTTTTGGGCACTTGTTATTGAGATTCTATTCTCTGTGTAGGTGAGTATTATTCTTAGGTACAGTTTTTCATTTCATCTATTTACTCTCAGCATATTTGCCCATATAAGATCAAATTAATTGTCCAACGTTATTGCACCAACTTTTTCAGTATCAAAATTTGTTTGTTGCAACTTTCAATCATAATCAAAATTACCATTTGGGTTACAAAGTCTGAAATAAATAGGCAACTTGAATTTAGAGCCCACCAGCGGCCAAGCGGTAAAGACGCTTAACACTGGTAGTTCGGTCCGAGGTTCGAATCCTGCAAACGGCTGGCTGCATGGACGTTTTTGTGGTTTTCCCCATGTGTAATGTGGATATGAGCCAGTTTCCCTTAGAAAGTCCTCCACGAAGGCATCCCTCCCCTTAGGCAGATAGCTCTAGTGTGCTTTGCCATAATTAAATAAACCAAACCAAAACCTCGGAGCGCAATTGCAACTTGGCTTTTCCCTCACAAAACCTCTGCGAACTGAAATAATTAACTGAAATAGATAATTTTAGCTTAGCTTCTACCGTCCATTATACATTAAACACACATGCGTAAAAGTATTTATGCGTATGCGTAAACACATATGTGCATGCATAAAGGTATTATGCACCTGCGTAAACACATTATGCATTTACGCATGCACAGAAAGTTTGTAGCTTTGAGGTCCGGATTATAGATCATTCCAGATTATGGACGTCCAAATTAAAGACTTTTGACTGTATAACAGAACAACTTGTCGTTAGTCACCAAGCCCATGATGCATAGCCAAGTATGTATAGTTAAGGATAGCTAAGTTTGACGATGATAGCGGCTAATTTAAAGGCTTTTGGATATCGCAAAACAAAGGTGAAATTTTACAATTAACGGACTTTCTAAAGAAAAGTTGAGAAGTGGTAATAAATGAAAATGATGTAAAAGAAGTTTTTCATTGTATTGACAATGCTTCTCAATCATCAGTCAATCAATCAATAGCGAAATATGTAGTTCCAAAAAATACCGCTACCGATAGTGAAGAAAGTGTCGGAGAAGTTATTGAAAACGAGAAAATTTCAATTGACAAGTTAGTCGGAATTCTCGAAACAGCGTTACAGGACTCAACAATGTAACTGAACAAGAGATTATGCCTGTCTACAGAATTAAAGTGAAAGTATTAGCACAAAAATCAGAGCAAATTAACTTACATTGAAAGAAATGTTTAATAAGGTAAACCAATAAATATTAAGCTTCTTTTAATAAATTTTGATACCCTTTACATCATAAAACTTCTTTTTATAAATCTCAATTTCATATTTTTAATTTTATAATTTCTACATGCCATCTTACTAGATTTAAACTGATGATCTAATATCTGGGAAAATCCCAAATCCGGAATCGCCGAAGTCCCGGTGAGTCCGGATTTCGTACTTTGTACAGTAGTATTTTTCAACTGTTATAATTATTCAGTTTTTTTCTCCCTCTTCAGATTTTATTTTTCAACCCACAAGCAGTTCTCAAGGCTTTGAAGAACTAAATATAGTCCACAGAGTACTAAAGAAAATGGGCACTTATCTGTTCTGGTTCCCCTTTCATCAAATGTGCATGTGTGATTGTGCATGCATATTTGATGAAAGAGGGTATATAAACTGGCCTATTTGGTTTGTAATAGCAATTTTTTACTATGATTTAACTGTTTGACAGCTACGTGGCACAAAAGTGCTACGTTCATTTGTCTCGAAAACTGCAACGCAGCGCTAGCGCCGCGAGTTTCAGTGTGTCTTTGTTGCTTTATAATACGAAAAGAATTATTAAAATTGATTGATATTTGTCTAAATGAGAGTGTTTTATTTGACAACATCAAGTCAAATAAAACCCACAGTTTTCGTGTGTTCTTGCAAGAATTGCTTAACAGTCAAACGGTTAATACCTTCTTATGGCCGAATATGAAAACACAGTAAAAACAAATATGAAATTATTACCATTAACAAAGCAGGCTAGTTTTTGTTAGACTGTGCAAGTGCATTTTATGATAAATAACAATAAGCGCCACTAAGTGTAAAAAAAGAATTCATTATGCTGCGCTGGAATTAACAACAAACAAGATAGACAGCTGTGGCATTCAGTTTTATTTCTAATTTTTATATTATTCAGAAAGAAGATACTAAACTCTTTTATAATTAATAACATAATTTATTCACAAAACTTAAAATTTAAATCTTTATATATCAGTACTTACCAAAAATTGCCAAATTGTGCCAAGATAGTTACCATAACAACTAACTTAGTAATTTTTTATGGATGAAAATGTAAAAGTTGCCGAAGCGATTAGCGATTTAGCATGTGCAAGTTGGTGGTTTTCGTGCCTTCTTTTTTAGAAAGGTTCCCCCAACTTACAATATTTATAGTAAGTTTGGTAATTAATATCAACATAGGAAAAGAAAACATATTTTAGTAACTTAAAATACAAATTTGAGTTATTAAATAAGGATTATGTCATACATTAAAAAATAAAACACATTCATCTTCAAATCTTTCTGTAAAATTTTTTCATTATTCTTCTCCTGAAGTACACAAGAATCTGTTTTCACTTAAAAAAACATCAGAGAATTACAGCTACTCGGCTTCATGCAACCTTCGGCAACAGCAGCTATCTAGAAAACGCATTTCCTCATTGTTCCCTCTCGAAAATTTTCAGCAAAATTCTGTATTACAGCCAAAATTTTACCATAATTTCTCTCATTGCTTGCGAATTCCACAAACTCATATTTTAGAACTAAGGCAAAAAATTAAGGGGTATCAGAAACCCCTATACCAACAATGTTAAATTGGCCATTTTCGATGTACCTTTTCTCAAAATCTGCTGTAGATACAAGCTTGATATTTTTTCTGTAATTAAAGTATACCTATCTGATTATACTGAAATGACTTTTGAAAAAATTTTGAATTTAGAGTAAATACAGATATTTTTTAGGCATAGTAAAATTTTAGCACTTTTTCACACAAATTTTTTTTTTTTCTAACTTTATTACAAAACGCTCATTTCAGTAATACTAGGGACCTAATAATAAGCCCTAAAAAGTTTAGAGATACTGTGAGCAGTAGTTCCTGAGAAAAGATACATCGAGTATAAAAATGTCACGTTTGGAAAAAAACGTGTTTTATGTAAAAATCCTTATTGATCAAAGCAGTAGATGACAAATTAAAACTAGATTTTTTTACAGTTCTAATTTTCATAGAGATTAAAGAATGGTATTTTTAGAAAGATAAAAGTGTAGAGAAGTTGAAAATGCAAAAATCCGAAATCACAATTTTGTTGAAGATTTTGGGGTTTCAACTCCCCTTAATATTGTTGGAACTTGGAATATAGCAAAATAGAATGCATACGAAAATGGCTGCACTGTTTCACTGAAACAGTTGTTATGGGCATGGTTGCCAGAGTTTGGCACTTTCTGAAAATTTGGCTTCTTCTACTAAGATGGTTGCGATAAAGTACCAAAATATCAAAGATGGATTCAGCAACAAATTTATTATTACTTTTGAATAATCAAAAATTAAAATAGTAATGGACTCTTAGGCATTGCCTAATGTTGCTTATCCATAGAGCTATGCCATTGATTTTAAGAAGCTATTAATTTAACTGTTAAAATTAAATGGATTTTAAAATCTAAAATTTTTCTCTTCGCAGCTCAAGCCTTATGTTTCGTATCGAACTGAAGATATAGTACAAGAAAAATTCATGCCTGAACATTTGTTTTATGCAGTTTATGCAAAGAAGCTGAAAAAAGATTTTGAAGAGGGAAAACTTGACGAAAATGGAAATTCTTTAGAGCCATCAGAAAACGAAAAAATGACTGCTGAGGAAGCATGGTGTAAAGCTCGATCCACAGGAAGTGATATTTTTGGATAGTCATTTTTCAATTATTTGATGAACAAATACAATAGTATTTAATGCTTAAAAGTTTATTATGCTCCGAATTACTTAGATGTTTGTGAATATTAAGGTAATAAACAAATTTATTATTATGTTTCATATTTTAATATATATTGAACATATCTAATAGGCAACACAATGAAATCTAGAACTGTTTGTGATGTCATAAATATAAAATTTTACTGAATATGTGCTATATTCGACCTATTTAAGATAGTTGGCGGGAACTCGGTAGATCTGACAAGAATTGCAAATAAATAACAATTAAATATTTAAAAAACACTCTAGTTAATCTTTATATTTTAATTGTTTTAATAAAATTTGTAAAAGGTAATGTAATACTTGTAAGATCTTGATTACATACAAGGTGCATGAAAATAAGATTCAGTGAAATATTTAAGTTATGGTTACTTCTGATTTTCACATGATTTTGAAGGGATTAATGGAAAAAGGCATGTAAGTGAGGAATCTGTATTATTCTGAAATCTGTTACAGTAACACACAGTGATAATAAGTTTAATCAAAGTTAAATCATAATTTTTATAAATTTGATTTATGCATGCATATTATGTGGTCATTAATTTTAATCATTACTTTATTACAAAATGTCAATTATATCTTTTGAAAAAGTTTATCAGTGTTAGTTTACTTTTATCTTGGACTTTTTCTGTTGTGTTGTTGTGACTTATCTCGTTTGTCTGACAGTAACATCGGAACAAGAACACGAAAATCATCGTTGCGAGAAGTACAAGATTGCGCCTATCATTGGCAAGAGCCTTAAGCACCACACAGGTGACAGTATGACTTTGCTCAGTTCCTTGATAGTGACCACCTCACAGACAGAAAGAAGTACAGGGGGCACCAAAACATTGCCATGGGCAAACTGGTATCACCCCACTGCACTAACCATCTATGGAAGTGTAATCCTGACCGGGCATGCTGACACCATGCTCAGGAATTTGCTTACATTGCAGCATTCATAATACACAGTTATATATTAATGGTGCATAATTTACATTGCAGACAATATTGTCTAAGATATACTTTACATGGGTACTTTGCAGTTAAATGGATAAATACAATACTTATTTACAGATGTATATACATATTTCTTTTGTGTTTCGGTTTGGAGCTTTGTTGGCAGGGGGGGAGTGTTTATGGTATGTGGTTCATTGTTTGTTTGGTTTTTTTGTTATCCGGTTTACAGTTTGTAAGTTCATTCATAGTGCAGTTCATAGTTTAGCATACAGTTATGAATTCATTTCATGATACATAGTGTTGAGTACGTAGTTCTGGTGTATCTGTCACACATTGCACAGTATGAAGTAGTTCGTAGTTTGAGTAGTATGAGAAAAGTCACAGTTGTCTCAATAAATGGAGATATTTAAGTGTGTTTTCTAAAGGCACTCTTGTATAAATATGAGAGTGAATATTCTTATTGTTGCGTTTTATGAACTTAGAGGATTATTTTCGGTTGTAAGCTATGGATGACACAGATCCAGTCCTTGGCAGTGTAGGAAATCAATAATATTTTTGATGTTTTGGAAAACTTTACGGTGCTTAATAATGAATCTTCTAAATTCTATTCCAGTATCGGTGGGATGGTGAATGTGATGGGCTGATGTTAGTGGACACTGAAACATGTAATGTTCAGGGTCTTCGCTTTCCCTGCATATGCGTCTATACAACGTAGCCATATTGCGATCATAAAAATACTTGGGGAAGGGACCAAGATGTACTGGGTGAGGAAGTAGGTTGAAATTGTGGTATTTTCATAAGCCTTGGGTAGTAGTTCAAATGTACGTTATCCTTGTTCCCACTGACATTGCCACTTTTCATTCGCCATTTTTTTTTAGTTTGTACTTTAATGCTGATTTAGGCTATGGGATATGAATTAGATCCTGTTTGTTCTTAGAGCTGCCTGTTTTGCTAGAAAATTGGCCCTTTCATTGCCTTCACAGGCATTGTGCCCTCTGGTCCGTGACAAATTTCTTTTTACTTGTGCTTATGTCTTGAATTTTCCAGGCTATAGGAGAATTTGTGTGCTGTTGTTTGATGGCATGTATGGAAGACTGACTGTCGATGATTACGTGAATGGTATCAGTATTTAAGTCACTAAGTTGCAAAATGAAATTTGAAGAAAGTTTTTACTGCAAACAACCTTGGTTGGTTCGATTCCCGGCGAAGGCGGTTGCTAATTGTTCATCTCTCGGGTTTTCCCAATTAACCTAATGTCTACAAAGCAACTATGGACAACAATAAGAGTAAGTCAGGAAAGATTCAGGCTACATGGAAGTAGAAATAAAGATACCTTGTTCGATACTATAACATTACTATGTATTCTTATTGGAATGTAGGTTTCTTTTAAATAATATTGTGATAGTTACCAATAGTTTAACTATGAATGCTTTACATTTGTTATGTTCTTACTGTAACACATCCTTTGGAAATAAAATTTACATAATTTCCTCTCTCAATTTTCACATGTTAAAATAAGTAAAAAAAGGGGCGGAAACATGCAAGTAAATAACAGTATAACTCTTCTGCATCAAATACATATAAAAATATAGACTGCTATACCAGTAAACACTAAGCCATGTAAATGAGGTGGGTAAAATAAGTGGAAAAGTTTATAAATCGCTTGTTTAAATTAAAAATACCTATGTAGCAGGTTGTTTGCAGTAAAAACTTTCTTCAAATTTCACTGGCAATTGAATGATGATAGATTCTTGAAAATAGCACTTGTAAAGCTTTTTCAGTGGTACTTTGTTATAGCGCTTCCCGAGACTTAATCGCCAATCAACCATGATATCTTGCCAAAATCTGTCTGTGTGTTCTTATACCTCATCACATGATTATATATTAGTCTAGCTGCATTCTCCTATACCTCACCATGAATTCATATATTAGCATCATATTGCATTTTCCCTCTCATTGCATGTTCTTATAATATTTATTTTTATCAGGTTTTGAATTTGCACTGTTTATTTAATTTAATTGTTTTTTTTAATTTTATTATTATTATGACATGAACAATCTTTAATTTACCAAGTAATGATGTCAGTGCCATATCTTTTTTTTTTTAAAAGAGGTCTTTTACCTGACAAACGAGAATGCAAAAATGGCCACAACATGAAACTTTCTGTTAATGATGAAACCCATTTGGAGGTGCAATTGTTGAATATTGCAAAAAGAAAAAGGGCTTCCATGTTGGAGATTGGTTCAGGAGTTCCAGAATATCTTTCATTACTGATTTATGTATTCTTGGCCAGACAAGTTATGTCCATGAAATGGTGTAACAAACAACTTAATATGTGTTAAAGTGCTGCAGTTGACTGGAATAATTACATGCAATAAAATAATAATGATAAAGATAAGGATTCTTAAAAATATTCTTAGAAAACAGCATGTGAATATTGTTTTCTTATATTGCGTTTATTTTTATATTTGTGCTTCACAAGCCTGGGAAAATTATAGCTGAGGTCTTGACGCAAATCTAAAATCATAAAATATGTTTGGAGACTGCTATAACAGAGAAGTACTAATTTTTCTAGGGGTAAAAATATAAAATATGTGAAGAAAAAGCCTAAAAATAAAGAAATTTTTTTTTCATAAACATCCAAAATCTCAATTCTAATATATTTTGCAGTATTAATAATCCAACTGTACATACACAGAATGTGTACGGTAGACATCCCACAAGAATTTAATTAAAAAAACTATTAACATTGGGATTTTTTATAAACAATGTATTTATTTTTCTCTCATTTAACAGCATAGAAATTACTTTGAAAATAATTTTATTAGTGGATATACATTGTTATTATTACTATTTTACATAAAAGTCTTCATTGTGATTTTGCAAAGCGTTCTTTACTTTCTTAAAACTTTTCCATAATTTCGCCTTGCATTAAACTTACTTTCTTAGTATTTTAATCACATTTACAAATAAATTAGATTTATATTTTCATTAAATAATTCTTAAGTTAACAATGTGTTTTAGCTAGTTTATATGCGAACAATCCAGATTTAATGCAAAAATTAGAAAAAGTATACACAAAACTCAGAAAGACATGATTACTCAGCACAACCATTGGTCCTAAGGCGTGTGGGTTATTGGAATTCTAATGTATTAGAAAGAAGCAGTTGAAGGATATGTTTTGACAGTCTGAAAAACATATTTCTAAGGGAAGTTTCAATAAACTGCAAACTTATGATTTATATTTATTTAATAACTGAACTGAAATTGAATTAAAGTCCAATTTTTTATTACATTTTTTCATTATTTAGTAACCTATATTTAAAAACTTCTTAAAATTTCTTGCAAAATTTTGTTACAATTGTATTAGTGTAATATTTCACTAAATAACTTTAAACACTTTTATTATGTATCAAAACATAATTGTAAAAAGCATCATGTCAAAAAAATGATTTAGAAAATACGCACATAATTAAAAAAAACTGATTTATACAGAACTAATTACAGTTCATTTTCTAAATTAATGAAGTTTTATACACTAATGAAAATTTATTTTCGCTATAACTGGCCTTTTTCTCTTTGAAGTCTACCAGCATAAGTCCTAGAAACAAGACTGAATGAATCCATGTATCTATCCATACACATAGAAAGACATTTCTGAAAAACAAACAAACAAAAAAAAGAACATAAAAAAAGTCTTATTCATTTCCTCATTGACTGCGAAAAATTAATTCATTTTATTATGGCTAATTACAATAATTTTGTACAACCCCCCAAAAAAAGAGAGAATACTTATTATTTACATTTGATTTACAGTTATAAACAAGGCAATGCATGATATACAAGATTTTGCATATTATATATAAAATGTTTCATCTGCAATTAATAATCTACTATGCATTAAAACTAAATAAAATAAAACACATTCTTGAAAGAAAAGGAATACTTACAGTATAGTAGAAATCCTTATTGAGAAATTAATGCTTAGTAATATGCATATGCAAAACATTCTGCATGATTACATATATGAAGAATAGCTAATACAGTACAAAGTCTAAAATCCGGACTTGTCGGGCTTTGGATTTTTCCAGATATTAGATCATCAGTTTAAATCTAGTAAGATGGCATGTAGAAAATTATAAAATTAAAAATATGAAATCATGATTAATGAAATAATGAAGCATTTATGATCTTAAAGGGTATCAAAATTTACAAAAAAAAACTTAATATTTATTTGTTTACCTTGTTAAACATTTCTTTCAATGTAAGTTGTTTAGGTTGCTTAATTTTTTATGCTAATACTTTCGCATTAATTCCGTAGAGAGACATAATCTTTTGTTCAGTTACATTGTTGAAGTACTGTAACTGCTGTTTCGAGAATTCCGACTAACTTGTCAAGCGAACTTTCTCGTTTTCAGTAACTTCTCTGTCACTTTCTTCACTATCGGTAGCAGTATTTTCTGTATCTAGAACCATACTACAGATTTTTCCATTCACTAATTGATTGATGATTGAGAAGCACTGTCATCACAATGAAAAACTTCTTTTATACTATCTTCATTTATTACCGCTTCTCCACATTTCTTTACAAAATCCGTTAATTGGAAAATTTCACCTTTGTTTTGCGATATCCGAAAACCTTTAAAATTTGTGGCTATCATCATCAAATTTAGCTATCGTTCATTATACATATTTGGCTATGCATGAGCTTGGCGACTAATGAAAGGTTGTTCCATTGACTTTATCTTGCTTCTATCATGCACTGAGACAATTAAGCCTGATAGTTATTTATTATATTTATGGTCTGTTTCTTGCACATGTTAAAGGCTTATCAGTGTTCTGAATAAATTTCCACCATATACTGAAGCCTTATTGAAGGCTGGCACTACATATCTTACCGCCTGATGCAGTCTCTGTGGGTCCTAAATTCTCGGCCCAGTGTGGCCATATGAGCCCTGGCACTGGGTCTGGGTTTATGTGAATAACAAATCAGTTATTCTTAATTCAAATAGCCTTAAAAATTACAGTAATGTAATCTTTGGGTTTATGAGTATCAACAACAAAATCTATTTTTAGCATATGGAAAGAAATGTTTCCTCGTCAACATTTTTTAACACATTTAACTTAAATCTGTAATCATCGCCAAGCGTAATGTTAACATAAAAGGTTACCATACTCCATTATTATTTAATTACTAACAAAAAAAATTGTTTATGCATTGCTACATGAATCATTACTCAAGTTGTGACGTGTTGATAAACACGCGATGATGAAAGTATAATAAATAATGATTCGCCAGGTTGGCGTCAGATCAAAGATGTATCTATGTGGAATGTTTCGGTTTGAGATGTGTGCCAAGCAGATGTGCAGCAAGGAAGCCAAATTACTGATCATACAAATTTATGCTAAAATGATTGTTTCTTCAATAACAAGGTACTTTATTTAGTGTCAAAGCGAAATTAAGAACTGGGACTATTCAGATGTTTTATTATGCACGGAGGGGGGAATCAAATGTGCATGTGTAAAGCCTACGAGAAAAATGTTGGTGGTTTTGAGGTCCGGATTTTAGATCATTCTGGATATCAGATGTCCGGATTTCAGACTTTGTACTGTACTCAGCAGAAATATCAAAAGAGAGTTCCAGACTTTCAATACATGATGTATAAGATGGATCCAAATAAAAAAATCTTACAAATGTAAACATTTTAACTTTTAGTTAACAGCAACTTCAAACGAAAATAATTTTAGAAACAAACATACACATTTTTAAGAGTAATTTTTGCTGCATTTCAAATCCCCCAAAAAAATTTTTGATTAAATTTGAAATAAATAAAATTAAATCTAAATCATTAAAAAATGTATTTAAATTTCTACTGAAAGGAAAACGAAGCTTTCTATACAGTGAATTTAAAAAAAAGGGGGAAGACAGTTCTGTATCTCATTTTACTCGGCCAACTGACGAAATTCAACTTGCATTTTTCATGTCTCGAAAGCACAATTTAAAGATATTATAGTTAGTGTCTAAAGATAAATTAAAGTTGATTTCTAAAGTTTTAAAGTTAAGATAACAGTTAGTCACTTTACACCCATACAGGTCAAATTGTTCAACTAGTCAAAATTTCTTGAAAATCTGTCTAACAGTTTCAGAGAAGTCACGTGTGTAAGCACAGTATTATAATTTTGAGAAATCATACCTTAGAAACAATTCAAATCCTATAAATGTGAAATTATTTTTACATATTAATTAACAAAAAATATACCAGCCTTTTTTTTTAATGGTGGACTTTGGCACACATTATTCATAAATCTTTACATAGATTTATGAATAACTGTGATGAGGCCATTGCAATAAGTGGAAAGAAGTAATGTAAGTCTAACAATTTCCTCTCCTACATTTTCAGTTGGATGAATGAAATCTGCTCGATATGACAGTTATAAGTACAAATAAAACTTTCTTGATCCTGAAACATGAGATTCCATGTACACCTTGCACACACACAAAAAGGGACAGTTCTACATTTCTCATCCTATTGGGCCAATTCACGAAATTTAACTTACACTTTTCATGTGTCAAAAGTGCGACTTAGGATATATATTAGATTTATGCTTCCTCTTTTTCACTGTGCACGAGCGGAAAAAAAAAGTGCATCGTTCAGTTCAAATAATTTTAAGAAAGTGTGTAAAACCATATTTGGCATTAAAATATGCCAAATTTCAAAACGTGCCAATATATAAATTCCCATTTATATCTTTGGAAATTCTGGACAAAAAACTAATTTTTTGCAGGTATGCCTAGAAATACATCTACTTTAAGATGATGGTAAAAATATTCTGCTTTATAATTAAAAAGTTGTTTAAATTTTTTTATAAAAATTAATAAAATAAATCAGAAATTATCTGCGAATTTTATTTGGATTGAACCTAAATTTCTAACTGTGAAAGAAGGAATCAAGTTAAGTTTAATAATAATAATAATAATAATAATAATAATAAAGATATTAATAACTATATACCAAATTCACTTAAAATTAACACTGAGGAGCTTAGCTTTTGAGAGCTGTACTTGCTCGTACAGCTGGTTGAGCACACACTAAACTTAGCATGAAGTCGAAGCCATATGGAACTTTGGCATCAAGCTGAAGCCATATGGAGTGCCATTCCCCAACCTGTGAAATTCAATACCACAATCTGTAGAGTACAAACAAAGCACTGGATTTCCAATGTTCATTCCCCCCCCCTCTTGTAAATTTGAGCACTTATTTGTACCACTATCAGTGACAAGTGGAATAAATTTCATTCATATCCGACAATTCCTTCATGATGTTGCATTTTTTCCAAACATGAGTACACTTATAGTTACACACAAAACTTTATTAGTTTTTTATGCCTAGATTGTTGTTTTTATTCATATTACAACTTTTAACCCTCCAAGCATTACAAATTTGGCCCTGAAATTAGTAAAGTTCCCCAAAATGTCAAGACTAAGTGGTTTTTCTTGAATATAATTGCAAAATGACCCTCTCGCTTTATACTTTGACTGCATTTCTTCCAATATACCACCAATCCGAAATTAGATAGATCAGAACTTGGAGGAAATTTTTATGTGTAGTTAATTGGAAAGCCATCTTTCTATGCTGAATTTTACCTCCATATTCTGCATAGTTAAAGACATATTTTTTTAAAAGCCTCACATAAGCTGTCACTTGCATTTCACTGATTTCTGGCTTTGTTTTTATGTGCAAAAGCGATGAAAATTTCATTTCACAGAGATAGGTAATAGTAAATGTATCTGCAGTGCTGTTTTTGCCTGCTACAGATGAGGTTTTTAATTATACATTAGTACTGTTCTAAGTCCTGTTTTTTAAATTTCATTTCAATACATGCATCAGTTCATATTTCAGGAAGACAGTTTTTTCACTAAAGTACTGCCATCCATTGAACTTAGGTAAAATAGAAATGGATCTGGTATCCATTTCTATTTTGCTAACATTTCTCATAGTAAAATACCCAGGAAATGATTCACCCAGTTGTTAGATATGTATTGCAATTTCAAGTATTATATTTGCATATTCCAGAATGATTGAACCAAGTAAAGTAAAGCTTGCAGAATTTCCATTTTTCAACTCAGGATCTCCAACTTTCTAGTTTCTTAATAAATGATAATTTTTTACTAGTTCTTATTATGTCATTGTCATATCCTAACATTGATATGTTTAATTCATTTTGGTGGCTAAAAGTATCTGCTAAGCAGGCTACTCAAAGTATTTCTGTTCTTTTTCTAGAGCTTTAACAAAATCATCATTTTGGATAAGGAAAAACTGTAAAACTTTCTTGCACAATTAAAAATGTTACTTTAGTATGCAGGCCAGGGAGAGCTACCTTACCTCACTGTGTTACAGAAACAAAGTATGAATAACACTGATTTCTTCACACAAAGCATGAAAGATATACCAATTAAGCCTTCATCCTCCAATACACTTCACAAAATTTACAACACAAATGAAAAGTTATTTTAAAATCTCTGGAAAAGCTTTCATGGTTATGCATGTGCAAGATTTCCTTTTATTGTAAACCTCAGCAGCTCACAAAATAAAAATTCTTCAAATTTTCTTTTTCTTAATGTATCACATAGATACTAAAAGCTGATTACAATTACC